TTAAGTCTTAAAAGTAACAAGGAACTGGGTAAGTAGTAACTAGCTCCCTGAGTGGAAGAGACCTAAAACATAATAAAAAGTAAAAATCAAACACACCAACATGAAAGATACGATGCTCTTATGCAATTCTCCAAAAATCTCAAATTCAGGCACTTCTAGTGCAGGGAAGAGACTGAGTTCCCTGGCCTTCATGTAACCCTGGCTCTTTCTTCATTGTTGGAAAGCACGGTGCTTCCCATCGTTCACTGGAGGTCGAATGTGTCTCTTAGTAAATGTTTTCTGCGGACTCCCAGGCGCAAGTCACTGAGGGAGGCGCCCCATGGGCAGAGGAAGTATCAGCCTCATTCTTCCCTGTAAGGAACTCGTTCTCTGGGTGGGAGGCTGACATGTACACTAACGCCTCCTGCTGCCAGACTGAGTTTTGACCCGGATGTGAGTCTGTCTTAAATCATTTTTGTCTAGTGCATGTCTAGCATAGTGCCTGGAATATCTCAGTGTGCAATAAGTACTTCATAACTGACTGACTGGCTGAATGAATGAAAGAATGAACACGCTCATGAGTGAAGCACTAACCAGCTTCTCTTTTTCTCATAAATCCCAGCTCTCTTTAGACGGCACCAGCCAAACCACTGAACAAACACCTTTCCTAGGAGAACATACGGGTCAATACGTCAGGTTACATCAACCTGACCTTCTATACTCGAATTCTTTCATATTGCATCCAAACAGGAAAGGAGTCATGACAAATGATTTCGATGTCACTGGTGTTTTCAGTTAACAACATGAAAACCTGAAGGCAGCCTTGATTCAACAGCCCAGGTGACCCTTGAGAGAATATTGCTCTTTGAGCCTCGTTGTTTGTGTAAGTTAATAATAGTCACCTGGTCTAATTCCTAAGCTGAGACCATAAGAGAAAGTGCTTTATAAAGTGCAGAACTTGATAAACATCTAAGGCATGGCTGTAATCAGCCGATGCTGAGGAACGTTGGGAGGCTGGGAATTATGTTTAATAGTTTTAGTAAGAGTGTTGATTAAAGGCAGTTGTCAGGTTAAAATGTGTCCCATAAGGGACATGCTCCTATTTTGGATTGACGACGTGGTTCAAGAGGGAGCCACGGAGAACTGCAATTTGGTTCATTAAGTATCAAAGCTACACCAAGAAAAAGAGGTGTTCACCAGACAGAGAGAGAGAAATGGGGGGAAGGGGAAGAATGAAAGAATGAATGAATGAAAGAAAGACAGAAGGAGGGAAGGAAAGAAAGGCTGTTCTTTGAAAGTGAGAGTTTGTCACGGAACCTTTTCTTCTTCTGCATTACTTGTTTCGAACATTGTTCAGTGTTTGACATTGAGTATGTTTTAGTTTTGTAATGAACTTTGCATGGTTGGCACTCAGATTCCTTCTAATGCTGTCAGTAGGGGAAAGACGTTCTACTTTCTGATTCTCGTGGGCTACCTTTCAAAGCCCTGAGGAGTCTGATGAAAAACAAACAGGATTAACAAAATCTTACTCCAGGGAGATTGACTTTCACATAACTGTTTCACTTTTCAGAGCCATGAAGGCAAAGTTCTGAAGCTTGACTATCCTTCAAGAATGTTCAAATGTTTTCAACCTGTATTCAGTAAGCATATCTCACTGGAGATAATTCGGCTTTTTTTTTTAAATTACTAATGGCTTGCTTTCAGAGAATGTCAAGATTGTGTTTAATGTTCCTAAATTTAGAATTTATAGATGTTATTATTTAGAGTCTAAATGATTCTCCAATCCTGGCAGATGGCAAAAAAAGGAAGGATTTTTTTGTGCAGACAGAGCACAAAATGAACTTACTCCTCCTAGAATATAATCACCCTGAAGAGACTTCTGGAATCCCCAGGGAGACGGGCTGCCTCCCTCCTCCACAACTCGGTACGGCTTACACAGCTCCCTCCAGCGTGAACTACGCCAGGACGATGTGTTCCCTGACTCCATACAGGACAGCCGAGTCCCCAAGTGCTCTGTAGCTGCCCTCAGCATCTAGACCACTGTCTGTCACAGCAGATGCCTTCAAGAAAAACATGTTCGCGTGTTGAATAAAAGTGACCCTTGACAATGAGTGACTGTTATCTGAGGAACCTTACTCCTTTATGAGATCTGGCTAGCAGTCTTTGTCTTATCTTCAGCTTGATCTAAGATCAACGAATGAAATAATGGCATCACTTGAAGTTATGCTCCAACACACCTTTGCTCTGGTAACCAAGATTTCGTCCTGTTGAACCATAGCCAAATATTTAATAAACACTATCGCTCCTCATCTCTTTCCTTTAACCAACTAAAGTGAAGGCACTGACTTTTTTTTCACTTTTAAATTTTTTGGTATTAAAAAAAATTTTAATTGTAGCAAAATACATATAACTTAAAATTTTACCACCTCAACTATTTTGAAGTATACATTCATAGTAGGGTCAAGTGTATTCATATTTTCATGCAACTCATCTCTAGAACTACTTCATCTTGCAAAACTGAAACGCAGTATCCATTAACAACACTCCCCCTTGCCCCTTCCCCCAGCCCTTGACAACCATCATGGCACTTTCTGTTGCTATGCATGTGACTGCTTTAGACACTTCATACAGAGGGAATCATACTGTGTTTGTTGACTTGTAAAATCACATCTTTAAAAACTGAAGTATAGTTGGTTTACAATGTTGTGTTAGTTTCTGGTGTTCAGCATAGTGATTCAGTCAAACATGTATATATACATATTCTTTTTCATTATAAGTTATTACAAGGTATTAAATGTAGTTCTTCATGCTATACCGTAGGACCTTGTTTATTTTGTTTACCTAGTAGTTTGCGAGGTGTTAAAATTTTTTCAATACAAAAAGTCAGCATCTGTATTTCTAGTCTGGCATTCAGGTACTTTTCATGGTTTTTTTTCTTTGGGAGATGGTGGCTCTGACTGTGGAGATTAATATTGCCAAGGCAGCTCTAACTTTGGCAATGAGGTAGGATGTATATCAGGACCAGGGTCACGAAGGTGGCAGAAGGGTCTGACATCAGGTCAAGGAACTCACCCAAGGGGACCAGGGGGACACAGGAAGTTGGGTGTGCATCTCTAAGCAGATTGGTGGGAAGCAGTTGAGAGCTGACTGCAGGGGAAGCAGTGGGTCATAAACCAGGCAGGTCTGGGCTCCAGTGCAGAAAGGTGTCCAAGTCGGTCTGAGGACAACACCCTCTCCAGCATCCCCGCTGGTACCTGTGATGAGTCAGCTGACTGTCAGAGCAAGAGAACCCCAGAGAATCAGGACAATGGCTCACCCTTTGAAGGGTCAACAGCTGATAAGAAATCAGAGCCTCTAGACAGAGACCTTGATTCTGAAGCAAACCCCTGTCCCACAGGGAAGCTTCTTAAAATTCTCACCTAGAGTAGAAACTAAGTTTACGGCTTAGTCGGCCCTGGGCCTTCAGGAATCAGGGAAGTGGTAGTGAGACCGATGTCTGGGTGAAAAGAGACCTGGTCATTTTGGATAATCACGGGGCTCCACTCCCTGATCTGAGGGCTGAAGACCTTGTGGTGGAGAGTGATACCATCGATAACCGTGAACAATCAGGGACGACAAGTGATGAGGGAGTGCGCTCTGTTAGACAAGAATAGATGCGTTCAGTGCAGAGAAGGTAACTGCATCAGCCAACATTCTGGGCACAGGAGTTCAGCTGATTGCAAAGACGAGGGGCTTTCAGAAGCATCGGAAAGCCAGCAATAGCTGGCATTCACTGAGAGCTCACTGTGTTTTACCCACGTTACGTATATCATCTCATTTAATCCTCACTACAGTCCTGTAAGGAACATATTATTGCCCAGATTTTACACTTGAGGAATGTGAGCTTGAGACTGCAAGCAACTTGCCCAAAGCCCCTCAGCTGACCAGCAGCATAACCGGGACTCAAATCCAGGCTTGCACGAGTCCACACTCAGCCTCTCACCCTGCGCAGCTGTGCCACGATCCCTTTTGATCTGCCCTTAATTTTCATTGCTCCCTACAGCTAGGGGTCCACAGTGTGCTGGGAATAGCATGTCTCATAGCTCAGCTTGCTGCACAGTGAAACTCATGTTCTCCTGCCAACCCCACACCAAAGAAAGGTAGGTTTATAGATGAGGGATTTGCTTTCTGACCATATTGGGAGGCAAGCCCTGGTCAATAAATGGTTGTATTTAAAACTGCAACTATGTTGAAAGAATAGCAAAACAGTGGTTGCACAAATTCCTGTCTTTAATCATTTTGAATGTACCACCTAAAAATCTATATTCATAAGTGCTCAGCAAACACAAGATTGAGACCTGCCTCTGTGTGTTCATAGCAAAACACAACCCAAAAAAGATCAAGTCACTATATGGAAGGTCCAGAAACAATAAGAGGTTGCCAACTAAAGGAATCTCTATTCTTTAAAAGAAGTGAGGAAACAAGATTAAGAATATGTACACATTCTTGAGATAGTTCTTGCTTGGCATGTTTTCTTAAGATCCAGTGCAACTCCACTTTATCAGTAAGATTATGAAATACTGTTTATGTGGTTGAAAATGTTTCGAGTGATTTTGAGGAACAATACATTTTTACTAATTTATAAAAATATGAATAAGGAAACAATGGATCAGAAAGGATTGTTTTATGCTCAAAAATTCACACAAAAACATTTCAATGAAAAAGTTTCTCTCACACACATGGAAATAAACACACACACAGATTCCTTTAAATATTCTCATTATTTTTTAGGATATGAGTTAAAATTGGAAATAATGCACATTTAATCATATATAAAATTTATATAACTAGCCTGTAGTAAGCTTGTGGTTTTGTAGCTAACATAGAACTAAAATTACATTCAGGACTAAGGATAAAAGCAATAGAATTAAAACTGCACATTTAGAAAAAACTCAGCGCCTACTAAAGACCAATAAAGCACTTTCAATGAACACCATGATTTTCTGTGTCATATTTTGGAAAGAGAAAATCTGAGTACTCACCATCAAGACTCAGACGAGGACCTCACCCACCTTCGAGAACAACAGAGAGAAAACAGTCCAATCCATCACCAGCCACCCGACGTCCAGCGGTCACTCCCCGGCCTGGCAAAGAAACCGAGCACGGCTGTCCGCAGGCACTGTGCCTGCCCTCCCAAGCCCCACAGCGAGTCCTGCTGCTCAGACAACTCAGACGGGGCTAAAAGTAAACCTTCCTCGGCCAGACAGCCCTGAGTCTGAGTCCTGGTTCTGACTCCCATCAGCTGTGGGCCCTTAAGCAAGTGCCGTAACCACTCAGAGCCTCGGTCACCTTATCTGCAAAACGGGAGCACTAACAACGTGACCACCACGCTTCAAAGCAGCCAGCAGTGTGTGCTCCGGTGTGGGATCAGGCCACGTGAGTAAACGCACTTCCAGAGGGCAAGAGCCTAGGAGGGGGTGTGTGTGTGATGTCTTTAGATTTTCCACACTTAGCAGAGCGTCTTGCCCAGAGAAGCGGCTGACTGAAGGTTTACTGAATGAATTCTGGCTGCCCTCTCCTGCTTGCTGGTGGTAACCGTGCACGTGGTTTGAGCTGGATCTAAGTTCGGCAAGGAATCGGGTTGGTAAAGGCCCATTTGTCCTCACTGGCATCATCACCGGTGGGTTTGGGGTTTGCTTTTTCCCTGGAAGACACCTCATTTTCCTTCCATGGATTCGCTTTGTGGCTGCTCAGCACTTCTCATGATTTTCGTAAATCATAGATTCCCCGAGCTGAGTCTCGTGTGTCTTTGGCTCTAAACTCTCACGAGCTTGAACGGCTTGTGAAGAATTAACCATGAGCCACCCTCCGTCCCCCAACCTTTCTTTTCTACCCTCTTCTTGCTATAAATCTGCCAAACATACCTTCATGGCTCCCTTCAAAATCGAAAAAGCATTTTCATTTACACATACTTTTTTTAAAGCCAAATTCCAATAATTTGCACAAACTAATTTTTATTTCCAAATTTCCTTTCCTTGAGCTCCATTTTCACATTGCTCCCCTCATCAAAAGCTAATTCTCTCTGGTCATTTTAGGAATTATATTTCTGGTAAAATCATTATACAATTCACTTAGAAAATGAGACTCGAGAAACACTTCCTTCTGAAAGACTACGAGATACATTTAGGGCCAAAAATGAGGAGCTGGTCTATTTTCTCTTTAAAGCCAATTTTCCTTTTCCCTTAGATGATTCTACTTTGTCCTTTTAGGAGTTAGTGTCAATGCCGCTTCCTCCTGGAGGCCTTCCCGGACTCCTCTAGACTGGCTTAGGGTCTTTCATACAAAAATAGCAGCTGCTAAGAGTGCCATGCACTGCCTTAGCCGCTTTACCTGCAGTATCTCATTTAACCCTCAAACTAACCTGAGAGGGCAAATTACTATTATAATCTCTGCTTTGCACTCCACAAATCTGAGTACAGGGCGGGAAAGGAAGGTGGCACTGGAACCCAGGCAACACGAGTTCAGGGCCCTTGCTCATAACTAGGAAACACGATCTGCTCACAGAACAGTCTATATAGATGTCCTCTCTCAGCGCCTGTAGTAAACAGCCGCAGATTGCCTGCCCGGCACCCGTCCTTTCTTCTCTTCACAGACACTTTCTATTTCAATTTGGTTATGCAGTCTTCATCCCTGGTCCAGAGGGTGAAATACATAATATAGTCCTGACCAGTCAGCATATCGCCTCCCATCGCTCACAGTGATTGGTTCGGGGTAGGCACACACCCTAGGTTGGTCCAATCAGAATAAATCCTGAGACTTTTGTGGGGATGCTGGGAATGCTGGGCCACAGATGCGTTCTTCCCCGCCACACGTGAATGGTGTCACCTGCACCTGCAGGAGCTGCTCAGTATCATCTTGGGATCATAAGAGGGTTCTGATGACAGAGAGTCTATATCATGGAGGCAATGCTGAGAAACAAAGAGAAAGCAGTGCTGGGTCTGGTCATGTGTTTAATGCTGCCTCAGTCAAGTGCTGCCAAAGCCAGCCTACTTCTGAATGTCACAGCCATATGTAAATTTCCTTTCTTGCTAACCCAGTTAGAGCTGAGTGTTCTGTTACTTGCACTCAAAATCTTCCTAACTCATCAGCACTTACACAGTTATTTTTCTTACTTATTTAATTGCTTTTTTCCTCCAACCAACACCAAGACCCTTGAGGGCAGAAACCACTCTATCTTGTCACTATCGTGTTCCCAATGCTTGATTTCTCAGAGGCACTGCATGAATGTTTGCTGAATGAATAAAATGAATGAACAGCAGGTCTTAGTGGGTCATGAGTGACCGGAACCACACATTCAGTTTGTTTAGATTTTATGCCATTTTTAGGTGCCTGAAATCTCCAACATGGAAAGTCTGGGGCAGCCAAGCCAGGCAGAAACTGAAATGAAAGCTCTGATTTCCAAAATGGTTCTCAGAGAAGATTGTCATAAGAGGGGGGGCCCAGTCAATAAGGGGCCTTTGTTGTCTCAATCTTCGCGGCTTTACTTTCTTAGACCTAATCTTTCAGACTGAGCCTTCTGCACGATGGGGGCTGCATCCCTGCACCCACTCAGGGGTGCCTCTTGTGTCGGTAGCAAAGACGTCTTCTAAGCCTGGAAAGTCATCCCTGGGACTTCCCATGAAGTGGCATATTGGAATAAATGCACTAAGGAAAATTCTACTTGTCCATGGCTAGATGACAGAGAATTAGAAAAACATCTGAAAAAAAATTTAGGAAACTTTCACCCTCGACAGCTGTCTCATTGGGACCCGTGGGAAGATCAAATTAGAAAGCAGTTACAAAGACGTCTAGCAGCTAGCCTTAGGGGCTCCCTTAACAAAATGAAAGAACAGAAATTTGACTAAGAACAAAAAATTAAATTCCACATTTAGTGTAAATCCCCCTCTTCTTAAAATCGAAAGAGTTAAGCCTGCCCCCTTTCAGCACACCTTATTTTATGTCTAAGAACTGCGGGTTCCAGAGGCTATAAATATCTACCAAAACTGGCAAAACGTTAACTAAGGTTGTTTTGTGTCCTGAGAATTTGACTTGGTTACCTTAGACTGGGGGCTCCAAAATTTGGCTGCAAAGAAATGAGCTGAACTCCGTTTGTGACTAAGGTCCCACCACACTGCAGCCAGCTCAGGGGGGAATCACCATGGCGCTCAGACGGAAAGTTCTAGTCAGATAAGATCACTTAAAAAGTGCACTTAAAAGCAAAGGCTTCCAAAGCAAACACACAGAATGGGATATCTATTTCAACTGGCATGCAAGAGACTCCAAGACTCTTCAAAATCCCAATATAGCTTCCTTGAAAGATCTGCTGTAAAAGGCTAATGAAAAGTTGAAGACGTGGGAGGAACCTAGGATGCTGAGACCGATGTAACGCTACCGTTCCCCTCTGTCCTCTTCCCGAGCACTCAGGTTTTACCAATTCTGTCTGAATTGCCTTTCCACTCTGAGGAGACGACTAGACAATTACGTTTTAAAATAAGACCACCTGAGGCTACAGGCGACCACATCTTTCACTCATTTGTCAAAGGCTGAACTAAGGGCCATAGCTAAAGAATTTCCTAAAACCGGGGAGGATCCTGAAAATTTTGTAAATGGATTACCTCCTGCAATTAGTGAATAAATAAATATAGCTGATGTTCAGAGCCTGATAGAAAAAATAATTTTAGGACTTCTCCCCTAAATTAAAATAAGCATGGGGGGAGGGTACAGCCTAGCATGCACGGGGTCCTGGGTTCAATCCCCAGTACCTCCATTAAAAAAAATACATACATAAATAAATTTACCTCCTAATTACCTGCCCCCGCCCAAAAAACCAACAACAAAAATAAAATAAAAGTATGTACCCAGAGGGAAAGAAGCAAATCGAGGAGAATGACGTTGGATGGGTGAGTTAACCTATGATGTCATTTAAATTACAACCCGATTTTTGAGGAATTGGGAAAAGCTGTCTTTATTTTACAAATCTTTGTAAAAGTGGAAAAATGCAGCTCTAGAGACACATCAGATTCCACCCATTCCCCAAACGTCCCCTGTTTATCTCAGAAGGCTTGTAACCTCTCCAGGAACTCTTATCTTGACCATCTCCAATTTCTAAGATTGGGTCGGGGGGAAGGAAAAAGAGGTTTTTTCAAAAATTTGAACTGCTATAGAAACACCTTTCCCCCAAATCTATTCAAGGACAAATGCAAATCTTAAGTGCCTTCTCTACAAATACTAGTAGAAAAAGCTTTAGCCACCTGAGCAGATAAACTTAACTTTTCCCAAAGAGTTATTTATAGCTAGTGAGTTTTATATTGTGATACTTGATTTATGGCCAAACATTTTGAAATGAAAGCCACATGATCTCTGTGTCTGAATACTTAAGGTGTGATGAGAGGAGTACATTATAGATATGATATTTTTCTGCCTCCATAGAGTATTGCCAAAATTAATTTGTAAAGAGCTCTATTTAGTTGGCTTACATATAGATCAAATTCTTAGAAAATATAATAGGAACTGACTCAAATGTTTTTCGAGTTCACGTGACCTAGGATAATGTTTATGGCTAGTTTAAGGTTGTTGATTTAATTGACACATACATGTCTTTACAGTTACCAACAATTAGCGTACTTTCATTCTACCTGGGGCTACTAAAAGTCAAATACGCTCATGTTCTCTCACAAAAATTTGTCAGCCAGAAAAATAACAGGATGATAACTAATGTTGTCTAATGCCAAATAAAGTTTTCTAGGTAATCTAAACATGATTGTTAGGAAGAAATAAATTAAATTAATCTAAATAAGATAAGAGCTTTCATGTGAACTTTATAGCAATGATTGTTTATGGGATGTCTATCTAAATTGTTTCCCAAGAGGAATCCACCAAAATCTGTAGGTTTTGCAGGCAATGTTTGATGGCAAAAGTCAGCTTGGCTACTTAGCCTTTAAAGCCATTTAAAAGTCCAATCTGAAATTTCTTATTAAAAGTTCCAGAAAAGCAGATTAAAAGATTTTACATGATCAATTGTTATTCTTTCTGCTCTTATGTAATAACAAGGCCAAGTTTATTAAACTAGATTTATTTTGCAAACAAATTAGTCTTAATCTAGCTA